GCGTGTTGGAGAAAACGAGAAACTTGGCCCTCCCTTTCAGCTCGACAGGCGAGAGTTTGAAAAGTTGTTTTATTTATTTATTTATTTATTTATTTATTTATTTATTTATTTATTTATTTATTTATTTATTTATTTATATTCCTTTTTCTTCTTCGTCTCCCCCCGAAACCGAAGCAGCCAAACTCCACTCCCGCGTTGGATCATATCTCAAAGTTTTGTAAAGTTCCTGAAAACAAAACAGCCATTATCAAATGCCATTAACCCTAGCTAGCTAGCTAGCTAGCTAGCTAGCTCTGTAGCTAGCTGGCTAGCTGGCTAGCTGGGAGTCCTTGTAGCTAGCCGCAAAGCTAGCTAGCTAGCTAGCTAGCTACCTAGCCAGCTAGCTTGATAGCTAGCTCAGTCAGCTACCTTCTGTGATCCAGTAGCTAGCTAGCTATTTGGCTAGCTAGCTATTTAGCTAGCTAGCTAGCTAGTTAGCTAGCTGTCAACCTCGCTAGCTACTTAGCTAGCTAGCTAGCCAAATGGCTGGCTAGTTGACCAATTTGACCATTATTTTTTAAATTCAAAAAAACAGAATAACAAACCAACGAACAAATAAATAAACGAAATAAATAAATAAAACGAATGAATTAATTAATTAAACAAATAAATAAATAACTATTTTAATTAATTAATTAAACAATTAAATAAATAAATAAATAAATAAAAATACCATTTTATTTAAACTCACCTGTCTCGTGTACATTTTGCTAATTTGGTTTTCCAGAGTGCCCTGGCTCTGGAGCTCTTCGTACATATCCTAATTGACAAATAAATAAATTAATTAATTAATTAATTAATTAATTAATTAATTAATTAATTAATTAATTAATTATAATTGAATAAATAAACAAATAAATAAATAATGGAAAGTTCTCGAGGCTGAAAAGTTCGGCAAACAGCGCAGAAAAAGGCGAAAAAACGAAGGCAAAAGGGTTTAGGGTTTAGGGTTTAGGGTTTAGGGTTTGGGGTTTACATCCATGGCTTTGAGGGCCACTCGGAGTGCGGAAACGGGGAAAATGGCGCAATTAAAAGAAATGGATTTTAATTTATTTATTTTAATTATTTTTGTTTTTCCAAATTCCGTCAAATTCGCCAACAGAAAAACTCCAGGATGTTTCCCGCGCAGCGCAGCGCCAAACGCAGCAAATGTTTCCTAAACAAATAAATAAATAAATAAATAAATAAATAAATAAATATAATAATTAATTAATTAATTAATTGCTTTATTTTTATTATATTTATATATATTTTATTTATATTATGATGATTAGTTTAATTAATTAATTAATTAATTAATTAATTAATTAATTAATTGATGGTAATAGCAATAAGGATTAATTGGATGTGTTTAGTGGTTGGTTTGAACTAATTAATTTTTTATTGATTTGTTTATTTCTTCTGATTAACTGATTTATGTTTTGGTTTTAATTAATGCATTTATTTTAATTAAAGAATTAATTGCAATTAATTGAAGAACTGAAATTAATTAATTTGTTCTAATTAATGGACTTATTGCAATTAATGGATTAATTGCAATTAATTGATTGATAAAAGTACAGAGAATTGTTTAAATTCAAAAGTTTTATTTATTTTTATTTTTATTTTATTTTTATTTTATTTTTATTTTTATTTTTATTTTATTTACTTCATCTGGAAGTCCCTCGGGGAAGATGATGTGGGCCCCCGCCTCTACGTAGGCTTTGGCCCTTTCGAGGGCCCCGTCGAATCCTGAAGAGTGGAAAAAGGGGAAAAGAGAAGTAAAAAAGAGATAAAAAAGAAATAAAATAAATTTAATTTAATTTAAATAAATAGTTTTGATAAAACGGGAAGAAATTCGGGAAAAATGATCCAAAATGGACAAAAAAACGCCAAAAAGGAGAAAAAGGAGTGCGGGCGCTCGGGTGTACGTACACCGCAATTTTCTGAGGTGTACAGACACCTCAAGCCCCATAAACAAATAACTGAAAGAGATTTTGCATGCAAACAAATCATTTCTTTTTATGTTTTCTCGAAAAGTCTGAAAAGCAATCAGAAGTGTTTAGAGATAAATAAATGGGGCTGCTTTTTGCGGTGTATAGACACCTCAATGAGGCCAAGTGCTCGAAGACAAGAAGATGTTTTGAATTAAAAATAAATCTTTTAAGTTTATATATATGTATATAAATAATATATTTAAAATATAAATATGTTATGGAGTTTACATTAAAATATATAAATATAAATATATATATAATAAATATATATAATATATAGAGATGCATGCATCAGGTGTACATACACACCAACGCTTTTGCAAATGATTTACTTTTAATGAATTTAAATAAAAGAAATAAATGAATTTCAATTTTATTTTTAAAGACAGAAAATAAATACTTTTGGCGAATTGTGGAATTTGCATTTCTTTGCAAAATGACTTTTTAAAAATACTAGTTTTGAAGAGTGCATGCAAATGGACAAAAAGAAATTAAAAAAAGAAAAAAAGAAAAGAATAAAAAGAAAGAAAAGAAAAAAAGAAACTTAAAAAAATAAAAGTTGCACGACAAGAATAAAGGGAAAAGAGTAAACAAAAGAGTAGTGACAAAAATAAATTTAAAATTAAAAAAATAATAAAATAAAATAATAAAATAAAATAATGAAAATAAAAAATAAAATGAAGAAAAGACAAAAGAGACCGGAGATTTAAAAAGTTTCAAAATTAACTTTTTTCTTTTTTGGATTTTTATTTTAATTTAAATAAAAAGACTTCTTTTTTCATTTGAATTTAAAGAGTTGCTTTTCCTTTTTTGAATTAAAAGGACTTTTCTCTTTTTAATTTTAAGTCAATTTAAAATAAAATAAAACAAAAAGTTCCATTTAATTCACTTCGAACGCTCAAATTAATTTGTTTAATTCAAATTAAACAAAAAACTGCTTTTATCCAGGAGCAGCAGTTTGCTGCTGCTGCTGCTGCTGCTGCTGCTGCTGCTGCTGCTGCTGCTGTTTACCTTCGACAGCAAATGCGTCAGTTCGGGCGCAAATCAAAAAGTCTTTTAAACTTTCGGATTTATTTTCTTTAATTGATTTTATCTTTTGCTGCATCTCGCAGCAGCTTATTAGCTGCTTCCCTTCCAGGTGGCCACACCTGCGAGCAGCAGCAGCAGCAGCAGCAGCAGCAGCAGCAGGTGCTGCAGCAGGAAATGCAGCAGCAAATGTTGCAGCATCGAGAGCAGCAACAGTAGCAGCAGCAGCAGCAGGTGCTGCAGGACAGAAAGCAGCACCTGCAGCAGCAACAGCGGTAGAAGCAGCAGCAGCAACAGCAGCAGCAACAGCAACATCAACAGCAGCAGCAGCAACAGCAGCAGCAGCAGCAACAGCAGCAGCAGCCTTGAATGAGCCAAAAGAAGAACAAAAAGGCAGCAAAGAAAATAAATAAATGAAATGAGTTTGTGAAATGAATTGCATTGAAGAAATAAAATTAAATAAAAATAAACTGAATTAACTTAAATTAAATTAAATTAAATTAAATTAAATTAAATTGAATTGAAATGAGATAAAACAAGATTAAAATAAATAAAATGAATAGAATAAATAAATAAATAGATAATCAAAAACAAATGAATAGAAAGAGACAAAAGAATTTAAATTCAGAAAAAGTGATTTAAAATGAAATACCTTTTTGCTTCTATTTGGTCTTCAATTTGAATTGCTGCTGCTCCTGCTGCAGCAATTGCTGCAGCAGCTTCTCCGCAGTCACCGAAACCTGTGTCTGCATCTGCAGCAGCAGCAGCAGCAGCAGCAGCAGCAGCAGCAAAAGCAGCAGCAGCAACAGCAGCACCAAAGGCAGTAGCAGCAGCAAGAGCAGCAACAGCGCCGAATGCAGCAGCAGCAGCGAAAGCAGCAAAAGCAAAAGCAGAAGCAGCAGCAGCAGCAGCAGCAGCAGCAGTTATAGTAGAGAGTGCAAATGCAGCAGCAAAAGCAGCAGCAGCAAATGCAGCAGCAGCAGCAGCAGCAGCAGCAGCATGAAGAAGCAGCACATTTACACGCAGACAAATGCAGGAAGCAAATAAGAAACAAACGGACTGCTGCAGCACAGCTGCCTTGTGCACTTGTATCTCCTAAACCCTAAACCCTAAACCCTAAACCCTAAACCCTAAACCCCTGGCCCCAAACCCCAAACCCAAATGCTAGACCTCAAGCCCCAAACCCTAACCTTCAAACCCCAAACCCCAAACCCTACTCATTAAACCCTAATCCCGAAACCCTAGACCCTTCCCTAAACCCTAGCTACCAAACCCTAAGCCCTAGACCCGAGCCGCAAACCCTAAACCCTAGGCCCCAAACCCTAAACCCTGGGCCCCAAACCCTAAACCCTAAACCCTCGGGCTCACCGACGAGGAGCGGGAGTCTGGAAACAGCAGTTATTTCTTTCACTTTTTCCAAAAAAGATTTAAATGAAATAATTCCAATATCTGGAAGTCCTTGGGAGGCGGAAAGGGCAGCGCCTGGTGTACGTACACCCCAAAGGCCAAGGCCCGTTGGCTTTGCTGCTTCTTTTTGCAAATCATTTCTTTCGCTTTTCTTCTTCGATCGGGTCTGCTAGGGTTTAGGGTTTAGGGTTTAGGGTTTGGCGTTTAGGGTTTAGCGTTTAGGGTTTAGGGTTTTAGCGTTTAGGGTTTTAGAGTTTAGGGTCTAGGGTTTAGGGTTTAGGGTTTGGCGACTGGGGGTTTTGTACGTTTTTTTATTTTCGGGGAAATCCTTTTAAAAAGAAAATTTAAAAGTATTTTTGAAAGGGTTTAGGGTTTAGGGTTTAG